TTTATTGCTTGCAAAAAGTAAAAATAATCCTCAATGTAGACTTCAACTTGTCTGAAACTGTATTAAGCTAGAGGACTTGTTATGTGCTAGTGTTGTGTATTCACTAACATAAAGTTGCATTCTTTTTAACCCTATTTCCATCCCTTTAAAAAAGCCTGCAGGCTCTGTAGTCTTTTCTTCCAATTTTCACTATGACACTACATATCTGCAGTTTCCTGGGTCTTTTCCCCAGTAACAGTTTCCTATCTATTGCAAGTCCAACAGCACTTTTAAACTCTGTGATTGAACAAAACTTATCACAGGTAGTTTGGCTGCAGTTTTACCTGTTGTCTAAGAATTAGGAGTTACAAATTGGATGGCAGAAATGACTTTTTAAAGAGAAAAAGTGAGTGCAGATTACCCATCTTTTCCGCTGTTGTCTCTGTCTTTGAAGGGGAAACTTTCTCAAAGATCTTTCTGGCTTTTTCATTCACCAACCTCTCTTTTTGTCCTGCTGCCTAAAGTACATCAGGGTCTTCCTTTGCTGAAGAATTTGGCAGCCCAAAGTGGCACCTGCTGAAGGTTCTTGAATTACTTTCAGTTCCAAAACAGCTGCTGATTTTTTTTTTCCTTTTCCAGTATTGGAGAGGAGTCAGATGTTTCATAATATATGCTTTAAGCTCCTGGGAATCCCAAAGGTGCTTTTTCAAAAGGCAACTGGACTTTCTTGTTTTTCTTCTCATCCAAGAAGCTTCTTCAGCTCTGACTGGATAGTGAGGAATGGAAGGATTTATATTTCTTTGCAGGCAGCTGGTCATTTACATTCTTTTAGAGAGTTGTTGAGGCCATTTGGGGGTGTCAAGGATGAAACTTTGGCAGCTATGTGTCCTTGTGTTTCAACTTGCCTTTAGAGTAAGGTGGGGAGGTATTACTTTTAAGTGGGTTAGATGGAGAAATGAAACTTCTATGATTCAGCTACAGACTGTGGGAGCCTGAAGCCTTGTTAAGGATACCAGAACAGATGTGGATTTGAACATGAACTTGTTTTTATGGATTACATAATACTTTGGGGATTTGGCTGGGAAAATTATTGTTTAAGTCTATGAATTGGTGTTGGAACCTCAGAGTTAGTTTTGATTTGACATTACCATGCAGTGTTCTCAATAAACATAAAGATTTTTGGAGACAGAATGAACCTGGAGTTTTATTTGGATTCTCAAGCTGGATATTGACAGGGGGGTTATCTGTGTCTTCAGAGTCACCTGGATAGTGCAAATGGATGTGGAGCCTTCTTGGAACTGCTGAAAGGACTGTGTTGTAGACTGGAGATAGATGTCATATCCCTACCCCTCTGTTGAGAGACGGCTGTTTAGTTTTGACATAGATGGCCTCTTTCACCCCTCTTTCAAACCAGCGGTCCTCTCTGTCCAAAGTGTGGAGTTTGCTGTCTTCAAAAGAGTGGCCTTTGTCTTTTAAATGCATATCAACTGTTGAATCTTGTCCTAATGACTGAGAATCTCCATAGACATTAAGCTCCTGGGAACTTTATTTCCCCTCTTGCTGTGGAACAACTTATGTTCCTCAAGGGTAGACCGTCCAGTGCAGTCTAGATGTGTAGGACTATAATTCTCACAGTTCCTTGCAAATGGCCATACTAGTTGGGGATGATGGCAAAAAACAAAATTACTATCTGGCAAGATTTACCCAGCAAGATTTATCCCTTCCATTGAGGTAAGAGAGCATGAGTTAAAAAGTAAGTCTCAGTAGTGGTTCCCACATTGTGGAAAATGCTGTCTTCGGAGGCACACTTAAGTTTCCAGCATTACAGAAGTCTCATAAATCGGTTTTAGTTCTGTGACTTGATCATCACAGAAATAAAAGGGTATTTTAAAAGTGTAGAAGGCCATCTAGCTTTAGTAATGTAGTAGTGTAGAATGTTATAATTAGGGGGTCATACTGCCTAAGGTCATTTTTGATTGAGGTACTTTACAAATACTGTAAACAAAAAACAAAATTGTGAGATTATTCCCTGGGACCTTTCTTTAATTCTCTTTTAACTCCTCAGGATGCTCCTGTCAAACTCAAGGTGTATTTATTTTCAGTGCAGTGAGTTCCAGTGCTCCTATCTGGCAGCTCCAGAGAGGGTTAAGAAGTTGTCTCATTTGAAACCTTGGTACTACAGTCTTTCTGAAGTCTCTAGATCAGGGGTGTCCAACCTTGGCAACTTCTGGACTTTGACTCCCAAGCTGGATGTTGAAGTCCACCCCTGCCCTAAAAGTTGTCCAGGTTGGATAACCCTGATCTAGATGGTCTTGCTCTATTTCTGTTTCTGGCTATTTTCTTTAAAAATGATGAGAGTGGCAGTCCACTATAACTGAAAAACACCAAATTACAGAAGACTGACTCGGCATAAGAGTTACTGATGTCCAGTGGAAGCTCTGAGCCATGAAATTCATTTTTTTCTCAGCTCTACTCCCAAAGATGACAATTTTGGTAGTTAAGCTCCAAATCATTGGTTGTAGATTCAAAGGCTTATTTAATCTGGAGACTTTCCATTTTTAGCTCTGAATGAGTTGTTCCCCTAAAGCAGGGGTGTCAAGCTGCCGGCCCATAGGCCGGATACATCATAGCGAAACCATGCCCATCCCATTGTCGACAATGGCAAAAAAGTTGTGATACGTCTCGACATGTCACATGACATTGCGAGTTTGACACCCCTGCCCTAAAGGTACTTGGCTCACAATGTGGAGATTCTGGACTTAGCTTTCCGGCTGGAATAGGAGAGCCTTTGCATAATTACATTTTCTGTGCAAATTGTAGCCATTTTTGCATCGGGGTAGTCATGCAAACCCTTGTCATCTCATGAGTTGCTCTATGTTTATGATCTTGAATATCTTTCAGAAAGTTTAGCTGAACAACTTGCAGCTGCCCATGTAGTTATATGCACATAGTAATTTGGCCATCTGTCATCATTGCTTCAGGAGCCTGAGCTTCTGCTTGCACCTCCCCTCCTTTTCTGTTTACCTGGAGATTGTAAGCCTCTTTGTGATAGGAATCTGCCCACTTGCATTCCATGCGTATTGTAACAGTGCAACGGTGTCAGAAATGATCTCTTTAACTATATGCTAGATAAGTATTGATATCAATTAACTGTACATATATCCCAAAGGTGTTTTTTTCAAAAGGCAATTGAACTTTGGTTTGAAAAACAAAGTCTAGTTGTCTTTTCAAAAAGCACCTTTCAGATAACCATGACCTGGATGACTGAGAATCTCGATTGACATTTAACTGTATATTCATGCATTTTCAGCCATTCCCTCAATCTCCCAAGCCCTTGAGTAAGCAAGTACACTCTGCTGGCTATCTATCAAGATTCTGGGGCATTTCATGCAATGGAAAGAACACAAGCCCACCTACTGGATGATTGAAACATTTTCCATAGCTGCCTCTCCAGCATTCTGGCCCACTTACTCTTCCCAGACACAGAAAACACAATAGCCATTAGCTGTTATTTCTCCCAGTACTTAGTGTTAGGAGGCCAAGAGCAGCAGTAGCCTGAACCATTTAAAAGTTTATTTGAATTCTCTGTCTCTCTGGCAGCAAACTAATATTCTTTCCTTTTGGTATATACAGCGAAAAAACTCACTAAAAAAAAGAACAGATGTCTGACAGCACTCAAACAGGCAGGACCCACAGGAAAAGCAGTCCATTTGTGCAAGCATCACAGCCAGGCCATAGTGTAGGTGGCTCTCTCTTAAGTCAAGATTTGGATTGAATAGGAAATGAACCTAGTTAAAACCTGGAAAATTTGCCCATTTTCAGGCAAAGGTTTAAATTTAACATAAAGGCTTTAGCACCCTTGCCAAATGCTGAAAGCAATAAGAAAGCTTTTTCTCCCTAGGGCAGGGGTAGGAAAACATTTGGCCCTCAACCCATTTCTTAAGTCATCCACAAATTGTGACGTCCAACTTGGGTAACGGTCAAATTTATGGCAATGTAGTTTCCTCATTGATGTTTAAATGATATTGAAGGAGTGCTAAGACTCTGATAAGCTTAGAACCTTTTTTTTAAAAAAAAACTACTCAATCCATTAAGTAGTGAAGTTAGAAACTCCAGCCTCATTTCCAGGGATGCCACTGCCTTGTCATTTTGAGACCTTGGTTTTGCCCATTTTTTTTTTTTAAAAAAAAATGGCTTCAAGGCATAAAGATTGTCTGCCTGGCTCCAGCCCAATAAGGGAACAGTAGTAGAGAGTGACATGCATTTGATCTTCTAACCTCAGGAGTTCCTTACGCAGCAGGATTGTGTAATTACTTGCAGCTCAGTAGTTCCCAAGTATGAAGTCTACCTCCCAATCCACTATTTTCATGTATTTATAAGAGGTATATCCCCTTCAGCAGTAAAATAGCATTCCCTCCTCCAATTTTTCTCTGCAATACTTCATGAGAAAGGCAAAAGAATAGCAACAGGTCCAAAGTAATCCCAACAGTTGGACCCGAACATGAATGTTAAGTATCACATCACAGTAGATCAGCAGTTCTCAACCTATGGGTCGCGACCCCATTTGGGGTCGATCGACCATTTCACGGGGGTCGCCAAGCAAGGCTGTCCGCCATTTTCTTCCCCTTTTCCGGCGGGTGCCTTATCTCCCTTGGGCTGGGTCAGCTGGTGGCCCAGCCGGTGGTCGGCCTGCTCCGTCTCTGCCGCTTGCCAGCTACGCCTCGGCATGTGCGGTGCTCCCGGGCAGGGAAAGTCCTCGACTTACAACCAGTTTGGTAGTCCTCGACTTACAATTGGTTTAGTCCTCGACTTACGACCGGTTGGGGGTCGCGGCATTAAAAAGGTTGAGAACCACTGCACTAGATTACTGAATGTCACTTTTGGCTTCTGAACCTATACTAACTTGGGTTAAATACAAACAATTGCTATAGAAACAGAATAAAAGGAAGATAAAGAAAATATCATATGAGGATCATTCAAATATTTATCAGCATGATCCATGATATAGGAATGACTGCAGCTGTGGTTAGATCCCTTTTTTGGGACATTTCAGTTTTATTAAACAAATATTGTTGAACAAACACAATGCCAAGAAGACAACAATCATGATACACAAAACACTATACAACTGACTACAGTTCTAAAGAATTGCAAGAGCGCTTCTTCTGTTTAGATGTGTTTTTTTTTAATATGACAACAAAATAAGAGAGATGTTCAAAAAAATGGCAACTGTACCAAGCATAAAAGAAAAAAACCTTGGGTATCTTAATATTTTTATTGTTGCGGCATTTGATTTGGAGGAACAGAAGTTTATTGCAATAGATGCTATTTTTATATAAATTACACAAATAGGTCCTAACTTCATGAAGTAAACCCAGAGACAGACTTCAGTTATTATTGCACTTTCTCTTCCCCCACTAATCCTCTGCAGTAGTGCTCTAGAATGCTCCCAGATTCAGAGCACAAAGGGGAGAGGAACTACATATACCAATGGAATGGACACCTTAATGTTCACCAAATTTCAGTCCGGGCATCTCCTTTTGCTACTTAGTTATTGGAAGATGGGAATCTAATCTCAACATCATAAATGTCCTGGGAATTTGAAGGATTGTGGCTATAAAATCAGACACACACTGAAATATGACCAATACAGGCAGTTCCAATTAGGAATTATGCTAAATGAGAAAGCTGGCCAATTCTTTCCACCAGTTATAGAATGTGCAATTAAGCAGTACAAATTCTCATTAAAAGTTGATGAATGTACTTTTCCCAAATAACTTCAGTGAAGTTAAAAGACTATCTAAGAATACCTGTGATGTTCTATCACTATTCAACAATATCTCCTTAGGCTTCATGGTTCCTCACTTTCAAATTAAATAGAGGAAAAGAATATGAGGGAACTTCAATCTTGGGATAGTTAGATGGGTTGGTAGTAATCCTATTATCATTACTGAGGGTGGAATTGACATTAAGAAAGTTTGAAAACTTTTTCCATTAGAAAGGAATCTTTTCTGCATAGGGATTTTTGCAGAATTTGATGTTGTTACCTAATTTGGATAATAAGGTGTCTGCCAGAAAACAACCAAGCTCAGAGAGCACCAAGGACTCCTCATTTCAGCTCTGAGGTACAAACATTCTCCTTTATTTATTGCCCATTTCTAAATAAGGGGACAAAAGTTAGTGAATTCAAGATAATTTCAGAACCTTTACTTTCGACAGAATTGGAAAAGATAACAGCAAATGCAATAGGATGGATGGTATGGTGGAATAAAGAACGGCAAAGGTAACAGCCGGCATTTCCCAGTCAACAATGACACATTCTTTCACATTTGGCAGATTCCTCCAAACAATTAACTGTGGGTTAATTGGAGAGAACACTTGTAGCTTCCAAGAGAGAAAAAAAAATCTAGGAAAAATCACTGAACTCTACAAAAGCTCTGCCATTTGTAATATTTTGCCATTCATTTTGGAAGACAAGTTCCTAGTAAGCCCAGTGAAAACGAATTGGTTGGAACCATGAGTCACAAAATTGCATCCCTCTGTTTCCTCTTATCCTTGTGGCATTTTCCCAAAGAGAAGCTGAGAAAAGTGTTGTGTGAGTGCATTGTGTCTTCAGAAAATGATACATCATTCCATATCATTAATACATCCTTGGGAAGTTCAGGTATGCATTCAGTGAATTGTTCTGCTGAAGTACAGGTTTCATCCAAACTAACCAGTTTAATTTATGCTGATCCACTTTGCAGCTGCACAGTAGAATCTATAAGTGGGGCAATACTGAAGTAGATTTAGTTAAAAATGATTGCTGTATTCAATCCCATTATATGCTAGCATCACTTCACAGTAAACAGAAGGGATAGGGCAAAAGCTGGGAGAATGTAATTTACTATTCAGTTTATTAATCTAGTTCAAATGACAACTTTGGAACTTCTATAACAAGGAACAAAATTTCTGTACATTTTATCAACTAAGTTAATTTATTTAAAAGACAAATTTGAACTCCTAAAATTCTTGTTAAAACACTAGAAGTGCACTTAGAATACAAGGGGAAAAAAAAAGTACTTTCAAGGATTAGGAAATCTTGCTCCTGTGAATTCCGCAAGTGACTGGCAGAAACGTTTCTACTTGCTCAAATACTGAAAGACAATGGCCTGGACCCAAGGAGCTCACATGCATGCAGAAGGCACTTTGGGGCATCTATATATGGTCAGCTTTCCCTTCTGGCTCCTTCAGGAGTCATTCCAAGATGGGGAGGAGCGCACAAAGGTCAGCTGTTGGAAGAGGTAACTTGAAGAAGCCCATGATAAACCCAGCCACTCTTTATTTCTTGGACAACCTCACCAGAACAATCACTAAATGATCCAGTGGAAACTCCCAAAATCCTAGCCACCAAAGACTTTAGTCAGTGCTGAAGCATAAATTAAGCAGTTCTTTCTAGAAGGCAGCATGAACAGTTGGCAGTTAAATCAAGACACCCAGATGTGCTATGTCATTATTGGCTCTAGGCCATCAACTAAATTTAAAGGAATCGTCTTCCAGAAGGTCTTTCTCACACATTTAAGCTTCAGATCAATACCATATGACTTCTGAGTCAAATGTGTATGAATCAATCTTTTTCTGGTCAATGTACACTCAAGGTCAGCATCACATCTACTTAGTGCAAAAAGCTGCCCTTGAACACATTTAATTATATAACAAAAGCATCCATTATCTAGCTCAGGTCTTACATGTATTTGCCACTTATGGGCATTGTAGTTTTTCATTCTGAACATGTCTTGCTTGTGCCGCTCTAAAATAAAAAAATTAAATTATTTGGGACTAATCTCCAAACACTGTAATACATTCAAAAGCAATCACCAAATCCCATCAAAATCTTTAAGTCTCTTCACCACAGCAATCTTATTCCATTTATTAGTATTCTCAGTAAACGTGATGGAGTAGAAATCCACCTGCAACTTCTCCTCTGTAGGCAGTGAAGCAATACGTACACACATTTTGTCTCAAGATCGGGGCTCCCAGGTACATATAGTCAGTCTGTAACTCCATTGTAAAGACACAGATCTTTACAAATAGTTTCATTTCCTACTGAAAACATAGATATATCAGGACTAGTTTGTATTATCCCTGTTTGCCATATTTGGCCTCAATCAACACATGAGCAAAATAAAACCAATTATCTTCAAAAATTCAAGACCATGTAGGAGAATCAAAACTGGAATTAACCTGTATGACAAGATTCATAGCAGCCTCTGAATTCAGGATGTGTCAATTTGTATGGCATGATTTGTTAAGTACATGAAATATTTATGGTCTGCATGGAAGCCTCACTTATGAACAAATTTCTGCATTAAACAGCAGAGTTTTCACAAAACATAAGAGGCTTTAATATTTGTTATACCTAAAGAACCAGATGTTAAAGTCTGCACTATTGTTGCTATCAGATTGTTCTGAATTCTAGGCATAGAGGTAGAAATATATAAAGATGTAGTCAGCTTCAGGAAGCTGGAAATGAAATATTAACCTTGAATTGTTCATCTTTCAGGAACCATACAATGATCTCTTCATAGTCTCTATCTCAACTCTGCATAAATGTTCAGAGTCAAAATATGTATTAAGATAAACATCACTCTTAACACTCAAGAAAAAAAAAACCCAATGGCTTACTATATAAGAATTTCCAACTAGGGATTTATATATTGCTGAAGGCTGATACCAAATCCAGCTTTGAAAAGTAGGTATCAAATCCTAATTTATTAGAAATAAAATCCTGTATCTGGACCGATATCTGAATCTAATAACCAGAGTTTCTAAGTATTTAGGAAACCTGGGCTTCTAACTGATGATCCATGTCAAACAATATAATAGCACTAATTAAAATAAAGGTGCTAATACATTAGAAATATTTGTAGTCTCCTGACTGCAAGGATTCAGAACTGAAACAGATATATGAAAAAAATATATATCCAGAAATGAGTAAGAAAAACAGACCTTGGCGAAGATGAGCTTCAACAGAAAGTCCATTAGAAAAAAGCAAAATTAGAAATTTGAAGACAGGAATAAAAACCATGGGAGAGCCTTCAGTTTAAGTTTATGTGTGCCAAAGTATCTTGGAGGAAGTCATTCTGTAGTCTTTTCTCACCAATGGAAGCCAAGTATTAAGAATACTTCTTGCTTTTTTCATTGATCCCTCAAGGAACGCAATAGGACTTGGGCCATCATATCATCTTCATCAGCATCATAATCCTAAATACAGAAGACATAAATATGCATCAGTGGAGCAATTTTGCCTAATCCAGGAACCAATCACAGCTGCTCAAAGGAAGTTTGACTGGAGTAGCATGAAAGACAAACAAATAAACAAGTGCTTTACTTGAGCTTCTGCCATCAATTTATTATCTAAATAAAAATTTAGAAAGGCTCAGGGTCTTTCTCACTAGGTATTTGTTATACTGGCTGAATTATGACAAGCCATATTTTTAAAAAGCAGTCTATTTTCAAATTGATAGAACAAGATTACTCAGAAGTTAAAAGGTATTTTGCTGCTTTAGGTTTTTGTGTAATAGACAAAGAGCCCAATTATAACTTACCACAAAAGTATCATATGAAAATTGATGGCGTCGCTGAAGATGTTCCATGAAGTTAGCACTTCTGTAGTGTGGATCTCCCCAGGGCATTGATACACAGATTGGACAAACCTGGAAAAGTTGGTATATCATTGCCATGCATTCTAAACCATGTCTATCAGCAAGTAGACTACAGAAGTTCCTTAGATTAAAAGAGGTTCTGCCCTTGAAAGTAAAACTAAATTCTCCCAATATTAACTCCATTTTTCCTCAGCATGTTGCATTATAGAGATCAAGATTCCTCCAATGCTCCATTTCTCCAGACCATCTGGCCACTCCACAAGAAGGACAATTGGTATTTCCAGAAAACTAACAAACTATTCCTAAAATGGAGAAGCAGATATAATCCAAAAGAAAAAAAAGAGTTTTCTAGACGCCTCAGAAAGTTCCATCTCTGAATTGTAAGTTGTATACATTTCTAGTTCATTTTCATCAGGCACAAAGATAGTATGAACTATCTTTTCTCATCTCATCAAATATCCCAAATAAGTATTTGGGTGGCGAATTCCCTAAATGTTTTTTGAAATAAAATTCAACATATTTAGGAAATCATGTTGCTCCTCTGTGAACATATTCTGAATTCATTTTTCAAGAATAAAAATTTTGCTCTGAGATTATTAATTCCCTACTTGAAAGGCTTCAAATATTTGAATACTTTCTATATGAATTTAAAAAAAAACAGCCTTATCATGAAAAAAGACTAAACATAACTCAAGAAAACCTCTGAGACAATAACATAATTTTCCCTAATGCACAATTTCTCCTAGAAAGCCAAGATCTGATTTTTGGCCTGTAAATGTCATGGCTGGTAATGTTATGACACTGCTAGAGAAAGGAGCACTTTAAAAAAATCTGGTTTTGGATGTATGGGTTTTTAAGGGTGAAAATGGGTGCCTTAAAAGGCTGCACACAGCAATTTTGTCACTTAACCCCGCCATATCTTAAAATGTCAGCTTGATTTGGGGGAGGATTAGAAGATTCTATGGAGCGAAATGGCAACCATAAATCTTTGCAAAGTTTAAGGCATCTGTTTCACTTCTTAAGAGTTTCCCAAACCAAAAAAGGCTGATTTTTTTAGCCCCAACCAACTTTAGGGAGTGAAAATGGGATGCTGGGGGACTGAATGCAACCTATGGATTGTTCATCTCTGAATCAGACTATGAAAAAAGCATTAATTACCACTCGCTTTGTATCATTGCTGTGAAAGTTTTTGCAGTGTTCTACCAGTCCTTCTTGGTCCAGATTTTTTTCATTGCAATAAGGGCAAGGAAATGTAAATCTATTGGGAACACTCCTGCAGGAATACACAAAAAAGGCCTTTATGGTTTAGAAAAAAGTACATAAAGCAAAATATTAAAGAAGAATTCATGAATACATCAAAAACTTTTTTCCTTTGCTGTAAAAGATTACTGCTTCTTAATTTGATCAAAGCAAAAGTTAACTTGTCTGAGAAAGAGGACTGATGGCAATTATGGTAAGAAGAGTGTCACAAACAGATTTATAGTTCTCCTAAACCCACTCCCACCCCCACGGGAGCCTGATATAAAAAAAGCCTTAAAGTGAGCAATGGCTATATAAAATTTCTCAGGTTGCTCACAAAAGCAATTAACTCATACCTTACATAGCATTCTGGAGTACAGGTGTTAAAAACTAGAGGTTCTTTTGAAGAACATTTTCAGAATTAAACCTGGTGATCTTATATAAACTTTCAGAGGGAAAAACAGCAAGTAGGCCATGAATTATAAGGTAGCAAGTTTTGGGGGAATGACAGCTGCACAATCATCAAACCACTTCCCATCTTTTGTTGCTATTCAAATGAAGAGTGGTTGGCGGTAAGGGTTCAGATGAGAAAAAAAGAAGAAACAAATATTCTTTATTTACAGATTTTTCTCTGTTTATCTTTGTTCAAGATAAATACCAGCACACAATTTAAACTTTATGAATAGGCATGCTGTAATTCATCAAGATTACCTGATATTCTGTAGTGGTTCTTTAGTCACAGCTTTAACACCTTCCATTATGTAATTCTGGTACTTCGAACAAGCAGCTGCATGACTTCGCAGCTTTGAAAGATACATCTGTACAGAAAATGTAACAAAATATTCACTTTTCACAGTATTTCTTAACTTAAACGTGAAATATATTCAGAGGACTGTATGGGACGATTTGAGTAAGACACAATACAAATTATAATGTATAATTATAGATGAGAACAGGCTAAATTAATATGTAACATGCCAGCAACGCTGAAAACTGACACCTTGCTCACTTGAGCACAGTCCTTTCTTATCTTTCATTCTCTGGAAGGCTATTATTATTACTACTACTACTACTACTACTACTACTACTACTACTACTACTACTCTTATATGGCAAATTACATTTTTGTTCTTCTATTAGGCAAAGAGCAGTCAACTAGCCAAAACATCAACTTATCTAATTTAAATTTTTCATGGTGACAGGTTCTCAATAATGCTGCACATTATAAGCAAATGTCCAAAATGTTATGGTACATGTTTTAATATTCTTCAGCTTTTCATTATTTCTATTTGCTTTTAACATTTTTTAAATAATTGTGTGCTTAGTAAGCAGGAAACAATTAACTCCCAAATCTCATATTTCCCACTGAATTTTCCATAATTTGCTTTAAAAATATTTAAGCAAATTTTTGATGTACCAAAATTTCAATCAGGGAATATTTATTAATATTTACAAGTAAAAATTAAGACATTCACAGTATCTCAATTTATTTACAAATATTCAATGCCATGGAGACTTATATTTATATGTTTAGAAATATAGGGATATTTCTAAAATTTGCCTTAAATAGACACTGAATCAATTACTGAAATCATATACAGCCAAATAAGCTATGAATTCCCACAAATTTCATAGATTAGGGTATAGTATATTAAGAGTACCCTTATTATTCCCTGAACTGAAAATTATTAACTGAGCTTTTAATTGCAAAACTCTTTTTACAACAGTTGCTTCATGAAATAAGGCAACTCAAAAGGTATTTCTACTCATGAAAAAACAGTAGCTCAAAACAGCCCCAAAATACCAACATCTAAGATATCAGCTGCTTTGGAGAGAGAAAAAAACCCACAGCATCACAATTTGGAAAGGACTGTGCAAGTTCAAAGATGGTAAGGAATCTGAAAATCAAGTCCTACAAAGTGCAGTTAAAGGAACTGGGAAGAGCCAGATGAGGTTATATACAACAGCAGTCTTCAAATATCTGAAAATTAGCTGACATCTATTGGTTGCAAAGTAATGGACAGTCTTTGCTGTCAAGAGAGCAGGACCAGAATTATTGGATTAAAAAAAAATCCAAGATGTTTGTTCATGCTACATGTGAGGAGAAACTTGACTGCATAAACTATTAGTGGAAAAAGCTGCCGTATTAAGTCTATTAACTTTCACTGAAGATTTTCAAATAGAAGCTATAGAAGAGATGCTATAGTGCAGGGGTGTCAAACTGCCAGCCCATGGGCCGGACGCGTCACCAGGAAACCGCACTCACCCCATTGCCGGCAATGGGGAAAAAGCTCTGATACGTTGTGTGACATCACGTGAATTCACGAGTTTGACGTCTGCTATAGTGGAGCCTGCATTAATTCAGGGTTTGGATGAAAGGTCTTCTAAGGTCATTTCCATAATTCTATGGTTCCTTAATACCATATCCACATACATTTTACATTAGGTAACTGAAAAAACATAGCTAAGGGCACATTAGACCAATACTTTCTACAAACATTTCCTTTCCTAAAGAAAAAGTAAAAAGTGACATAAGGATTTGCATAACATTTTCATCACTTTCACACTGATGTTACCAAACACAACCACAACTGTCTATTGTGGCAAGGTCTGCTGATTCTATATTGGTTACATAACTGATTGGTCTTATGACAAAGTCTGCAAATTTTTATTTCTAATACATTTTATTTCTAATGCATTTCCAGTACAGGCAATGGAAGAAATTAAGTCCCCTTTTGGCATTTCCATCAAAGATTTGAATTGGCTCTTCCCCATCACAGTCTTTTTTGAATTCTGTAAAAACAACAATTGCTTATCAGGACAGAGTATCAGTATATTTATTTGCATCATTATTCATTCTATGTAGTAATAAATATAGGTCAGTTTTTCATACTTTTTGATTGCAGCCATTGCAAGTAGCCTCTGTCATTTCAATTTGCTTTTCCAAATCCAGAGCTCTGCTGCCATGAGCCAGAGTACTACGGCAAACTCCACAAACGGGCTTTTTAGGCTTAAGACATTCCTGAATGCATGGTGTGCAAAAGCTAACACAGAAAAATATACATATGAACTTTCATTGATTAAAAATACAGGCATGTACTAATTCCCTTCCATTCCCCCAATAAAATAAAATAATTGATAAGCATACCTCAGCAATGTATCAATGCACTACAATGTAATCTTAAATGGGGAAAAACATCTTTTAACAAAATAGTAAATAAAATTACTATTTTAAGTATCCATAAAATTTGCTTACAGCTTAATGAGAGCAGTATACTTAACTGTGCACTGTAAGATATAAATACGTTCAAAGATGAAATCTTGTTACAATAGTATTATACAATAGCAAGAACTGGATCCTGTTTTTTAGCAGGATGGAGCTATTTAAACAAAATAGCTCAGCATAAAATTTATTAAGAATGCATATATCTAATAGGTTTGAAGTAGAAACTCCCATGCTTGGTACTGCAATAGAAGTTATCTTCTAATCCATCCAGCAACCAGGTTCAGAGACAATTACAAAGTCATAAATGTTAAAACATTGCAAATGAATATAATTAACCAGGTAAGGAAAGATAAAATAGATACACGCTCAATCCCTGTATACCTAAAATCAAATTATAGAAGAGAGAAGAAGAATGTTAAATTCCTGAAGTACCTGCGGTTATATCATTTGGATGCAATTTAGAAATTACCAATAAAGATGAAAACGATCTTAGCTGTTGCTCCAGTTAAGCAAAGTTCTGAGGACAATATTAATGTATAGCTGATAATATTTGGTAATATGCAGCGTTCAAGAAAGAGTTGTGAAGGCCTGGAACAAGATGTAGTTTCCAACCCCTCACATGAAAATATTTATGACCATGGCCATACTGTACACATATTAACAAAAAAAAACTGCATACAGGAGAAAGAAAAAACAATACCTCATCTCAACTGGCAGCTGGTCATTTCCATAGCTGTAAAAATAGATGCCACCTCTTTGAAAGATTCAGATATTATCATCTCAGAAATATACAAGGATGAACTATTTGTCTTGTCAGTTCCTAAATGCTTCAAATATCCTAATATAGGCTGTGCATATCAATTCTGTCTTAATGACCAAAATATGCTTAGATAAAATATGATAAATCCAAAACTAGTACTACTTATTTTACTTCATTTCTACCACAGTGCTACTATATTAGGCCATTCAAATTCCAAGGCTTCACTACAAACAAGAATTAATTATATAGCAAAAGTGTTTGCTGAATTCATCAAGAATTTTTAAATAGATTCTATTCAATCCCTATTCAATCTTTACGCTTTCTCTAAATTGCATTCAGTCACACCTAAATCAGAGGAAGGTATGACTAATCATAGATATATTACTTTTCCTTTCTTTTTAAATGTCCTTTCATTGGGATTTTGTCTTCCAAAAAAGATGAATTGGTATTTAGCTTCCTGCAGACTTATTTGTAGTATCTTTTCTGTTCCTAATGGTTAACAATGGAAGCCCCAGCCAGATGTAAACAGAAAATAGATATTTTGAATGCTACAAAAGCATAATGATCAGATAAAGTAAAACTCTTGTAGACTCTCATTTATGATTATGAGCTACAGTAAAACTTAGCAGAAACAAATGCCCCACTGACAGCAGTCTCTCTCTCAAATTTATTCAATCCGGTTTGTTCTTTAACCTATTTATTTTTATCTCAAAAAAAGAGTCCCATTACAGAATTTCAGTGGAGTGACCCAAGGATTGAACTCCCTCACTTTTAAAATTTTGCACTGAAATTCTGGTAAAAACATTATCGGCAGTGTTTAAGATTACATGAGCAAAAATCCCTCCTACGGATTCAAGCTTCCCTTGGATTCTGCCCACAACTTCATTTCACTTTCGTTTTATAAAATCGTATTAATAGCCCTGCCCCCGCAACCACCAGGCTGCAATTCTTGAAAGTTCGGATGCTACAATAATATCTAAAGGGAGATTAATGGGGCTGCAATGGGTTAACGTTTTGCACAGCTTATTATTTTATTACCTAAGTTGATAAAAAGGAAAAAAAAACATAGAAGGGGCAAAATCTGGGACCATCCGGTTAGAAAAACGTAGAGGATCAATTTAAAATTGTTCTGCTTTTAAGGGGCTTTTTACAACACTTGTCCCAGGCCTAGCTCTTCCTAGAGGCGCCGAACTTCCACCAACTCCAAGCCCAGCAAGCCCATGCTAGATGTGGAAGATGGGGACTGAGGTCCATGTATTGGGAGAAGAGCAAGCTGGGGTAAAGTTTTTCCACCCGCTTTGTTCCTCACACAAGTGAGCTCCGACTCAACCTCAATTCGGACCAACCACCCTCCGTTGCTATGGTTACCCAGTTATCTCCCACCTCTCTGAGGTGGCCTGGCTTCCGCCTCTCTCCATACTCACATATGACCGCAAGGCGCTCGCACGGGGCTCTCAAACACCTCCAGGCACACCGGGCAAGTGAAGCGAGAAAGCGGATCCACTCGCTCCCCAGTCGCACCCTCCGGCAACCGAGCATTCGCTTCGGCCAACGCCATCTTCCAGAATGACTTCCGCGAAGCCACTCTGGCAGTCTCACAGAAGAACTACCGCGAAACTACAGCACATGCAACGACGGCGGCCTAAAAGGGCCAGATCAAGTTCGGCCACGCCCATCACGCGCGACAACGGAAAAATGCGCAGGCGCACGCCTAGAAGGGCTCGTTTGACGTCAAGGCGGAGGTGGGGAGAGCGACGCGCGGGTGGTTAGAAATCAAGACAGGCTAAAAGCTGGGGCGGGGGCGTGACAGAGATGCGAACCTTGTAAGACAGAACGGACGGAGAGGGTCTAAGTTCGATTCAGTGAGCTTCTGTATTAGCAAATGTAGCTCATTCAACAAACCATGATAGTTTAATGAGATGCGATGCAACCATTCAATAGTAGGATTCTTGATTAAGCAACAGGCAAATATACAAAACAAGACCAACTCTCACGACTGTGTGTCTCTGTGTGAGAGAGGTAGGTAGTGGTAGAACCTCAGGAACCTATGGGCTACAGGTCATGAGGGAAGTTAGCCCAGAGAAGGAAATATTAAAAGGGCAGAAAAATACTTTTTTCCTCAAAAGGATTTTTTAAATCTATCTCTGCTCCAAGCAAGAGTTAGCCCCATACAAATGCAGATGTAAAACCATCAGAGAGTTGAAGCCAGAGCACTCAAGAAGACAAAGAGAAAATTTGCATGCCCCACCCAAACTCTAGGATTCATTAGCCCCATCACCTGGGAAGCAGGATATGATAATAGGATTAAACCACAGATATCAAGGCCTAGACAAACACTCAGAAATAGCCTCAAGGTTCATGCCACAGGAACAGGAAATTATTCCAAACAAGGCTAGAGGGGATATAAAAACCCTAAATATGTTCACAGAGGATATAAAAACCTACTGCCCATGTGCTCAACTGCTCTTTCTTGAAAGGACCATCTTTCTGCTTCTTCAATAAACTGTAACCTTCCCAAAGCAGTCGCTATGTTGCTTATTTATCCCAGCTTGGATGAACCAGGATGAAGACTTACTTCTGACAGTCATAAGCAGAGGGAATATTCAAGAGTTACAACGTGGATGATTCAAAGCAGAATGGCATATACATCCTCAGGCCACTAATCTCAAGCATTGAGGTAGAGCCAGAACAAAGCGGGTAAATACCTTTACTCCAGCCATGTATTCTCTCAATGCATTGGACTTCAGTTCCCATCTTTCACATTTAGCATGGGCTTGCTGGTTGGGATTGGTGGAAGTTCAACACATCTAGGAAGAACTAGGCCGGGGACAAGTATTGTAAAAAACCCCTTAAAAACAGAACAATTTTTCTCAGTATTAAAATGCTAAAATGGACTTACCTCTCTTCGGACATTCTTAGAGATTATCTAAATATTCAGCATTTGTCTCTGGCCTCAGGGAAAACAGCACTTAAAATATCCAAAAGGGTTGTTGGATGTTTTCTTGATATCAGCTTAAGAAATGGATAATGTGTTAATATTTTATTTATGTTGTTACTCATGTGGGGTTTGAAGTATTTTGTGTAGAATGGTAACATCTGTCAATTGATCTATTCTAAGGACTAAATCTTTGCACCTTCTGATGCAAGAATATAAACATTAATGGGATTGCTTTCTCACATTTTTCATTTATGTAACAGAATTTTGATTGTATTGAAACAAATATATCCTCTTTTCTCCCCAAATTCGGCTGTTGCCTCTGAACTACTATGGATAAACTACAGAGATTGAGATTTAGGTTGTGAAACCAATATTTAATTCCTTCATATTGTCCTTACCATCTGTAGCTCTCCAATAATTTCAGCCTGTATGAAACTCATAGAAAGTACTGTCAGCCAATCACTACTCAATCCAAACTAGAAAATGGCCAGGCGTAAAGAACATCAGTATTACTCTATCAAGCTGGCCCCTCACTGAATATTTCCAGTGCTCCAAGAATGAAATAGCCCTCCTTCCACACACCCATACATTGACCACATGTATTTGGGTACATTTCTATAATGGTTTGTAAAATAATCCTTTTGATAGAGAACAATTGCAAGGGAAGACCATTACCGAAGGCACTGAGAAATATAAAAAGCATTCTATTCACCATGATTCCAAAACAGGACTGAAGAGAGGATGGCATTTTAATCAGTACTGTAAGGTATATTGTCAAAGTGCATCTCAAGAAGCTTCCGTAGCAGCAGAATTGCATTTGAGGGCTTTCATTTGAGGTTACAGTAGGTTAAAAATACCATATGGATATATATATATATATATATATATATACACACACACACACATACATAACCCCTTATGTATATCCAATCCAGTAATTACATTGTGTATTTTTCTCTTAATTTGCACAACCCTCTAAAGATTAATTCACACTGGGTTCCCACAATATGGTTGGCTTATCCCTTACCATAAGTGCAAACCATGATAATAAAAAATGACAAAATGTGCATTCTGACACAAACCTGTATTTTTCATGGTTCCAACATCAGATGGAAGTAATAAACACTTTGCACAGTAAAATCACAATGCACATTGTCATTCGTCCCCCTGTTCAAAATATATCCTCAGCGTAGTCATTTTCCCACCAGTAACTTTTTCTTCCAACTTGTACTATCAGATGTTAGACTGCAATTCTCAAGACAGCTGGAGCATCAAGTTGGAGAAGACCACAGGAAATGAGTTCGTGTCCCAGAATCCTTTTTAACTGGCCATTCTAGCTAGAGTTGCTGAAAATTGAAGTTCTTATCTGCTCCTCTTATAGGCAGATTTAGGAAGCTCTCAGGAACGTAGGCGACAATGCATTTTTATTGTCTTGGATAGTCAACAGTTTCCATCCTTTCAGCTTGGAAAGCAAATACATTAGAGCGAGCGCAAACTGAAAATCATAGTCCCAATGACTGAGAATCTCCATAGACCCTGAAATCATATGCATGCACCTACACACGCGTCATCCGTGTCAGTATCTCTGTGAGCCCTGGGAAATTGCGCCTGCGCCCTCAGCAAAAAGGCGTCAGCGGCAAGACACGAAGACGAATCCCATTTCCGGGTTTCTGTAGAAGGCCGGGGGGCGGGAGAGAGAGAGAGAGAGCGAACGAGAGCGAAGCAGAAGAGATTGTTCTTCCGGGTCCTGAGTGTCTTCCGGTCTGGCCAGTGTCGAAGGCGGTTGCTGGTCGGTGGTTTTAGGTGGGCTGTTGCTGCCGGATTCCCGCAGTTTGCATGGTGGGGGAGGCGAAGAGTCGGTGGGCTCAAAGCGAAGAGGGAAGTCAGAGGCTCAGCTAAGCAGGAGGTCGGGTCCTAGGCTTTACTCAAGGGTAGGTTCGCCTTGAGCGTCATTGGATGTGGCTGCTGGTTGGGGTTGCGGATTGGTTTGGCTCCGTGTATCCCCAAGGAAGAGAGCTAGATGTTTGCGAGAGCCTATTCTTCCTCAGCTGCCCAGCGGTGAGAGGTCCAGAAGGGGGTCTGGTGGGCCAGTGAATAAATACCATATTGGCTCCCCGTCTGAGTTTTATAGTCGCTCTTTTGGTTTTTACAGAGATGTAATAAAAAGGGAGACCACTACAGATGGCGGGTGAGAAGCATTGCTTGCCATCCATAATAGCTGCAGCTTCTATGTGATGTAGGTTAAGGTGAATGGAAAAAAGTACTGAAATAAGGGAGCCTTTTTCTCATTAATTCCTAATCACAGTTTTCATTGTTCAGTTTGATTCCGTGCTTGGACGCCGGATGAGTGAAGATATATTGCAGCTAATAAACTCTTCATTAAAAAGGAGCCTCCACTGTTATTTGTGCAGCCATATATTGGGAAAGGGTATGCTTCTTAAATGGGGAACATTTTTGTGGGTGTGTTTATGTTCTGGGATGGAGGAACCTTTTTAATGTCTATCTTTTAAACCTATTGAGTAATCCTATTGTGATCAGTTTCAAGTTTCTGCCCAGTGGTAGAGACATTATAAATGATACATCTGAATGATGATAAGTCTAGAGACTGTTGATGAGAAGTGAGATAAAAAAAATACAAGCAATTTAAACAAAAGTATTTATTCAAGATTTTTAATCAGGTGTAAGGTTTCAGTTTTTAAAGGCGGTTATCTTGGACTAATTCCTGTTGAACTTTGTGAGATTTCTGTGTGGGTGTGATAAAATTGCCCCACCTATGATAAAAACTAGTCTAGTCAAAATAGAACAATTCAAATCAAATAAGATTTGAACTGTAGGCTTTTAAAATGTTATAAAGCCTGTCTTGATCCTTTAAAACATACTGCATTATAGCAATAGCGCTTAGACTTATATACCGCTTCACAGTGCTTTACAGCCCTCTCTAAGCAGTTTATGGAGTCAGCATAGTGCCCCCAACAATCTGGGTCCTTTTAACGACCTCGGAAGGATGGAAGGCTGAGTCAACCTATTATTCTGTAGTTCTTACTGTTGTTATTTCACAATGTAGTTGCCCCTACCCTTCCCTTCCTTTTCATGTGATCAGGGATGCTGAGGCCCAAAGGCACTGTTTTTCTGTCATTGGACTGACCCTCTGGAATGGTTCTGTCATGAGAAATGCATTTGGCCCCAAATCTAGTCACCTTCCAGAATCTCTTGAAAACACCTTTTCCAGAGGATATTTTAAGGCTTATTCCTCATCCTACCTGAATTGTATGCTATTTCATGTTTTACTATTTTTTCTATTTTTTTATTTGTATTGCTATTGTTTTCACATTGTCAGTCACTGAGAGTGTATACAATTGTAGCAGGATATAAAGGTGATAATCGTTAATATTCATTTGCAATTTAATTATCTTATGTCATTTGTGAGTTGTATTACAACTGTGGTCTAACCTGATGCAATTTCACTTAGCAGTGATCACACTGAAGGAATGGGATTTGTTTCCAATGAAAGGACAGGAAAGAATTGTGATTTGTATGGATGCTTGGATTTTTTTCTCTTCAAATAGCTTTCAAGATGTAATCATTCTTTTTGTAGGTACTTATTTTAATACAATCAGGTAAACCATGTTTGGAAAAAAACTTAGTGATAGCTATATATAAAGCTATTAGCTAGTATCTACTATCTTATAACCATACATTTGGGTTTTTTTTACACCGCATCGGTATTTTAAATATTGGCCATTCTGTATTGTACCAAACAACATTTTTCCATGTTAAACAGTTCTTAGAAAACAGGATCCCATAGAATATTTCTTAAAACCAATGTACAGTGCGATTTTTTGAATAGGTAGATGAAGGTGGGGAAAATCTGCATAACACCTATAAGTAACTTTGTTATCCAGATTAGACTAGCTGCGGCTCTCTGTATCTCAAAAGAGAACAAGAAAGGTTTATTGGATTGCTTAAAGATTAGGGATGTGAAACATGTCTTGTTCATTTTTAATAGGTTTTTTTTTTCATTTTTGCAACCTTCAGTTCCTCTATATTGTAGAAGTATGAACATTTGCCTAATATAAACAAATTTGCATGCACATTTACAAAAAGGACATCTTTACGGAGAGCATTTCCTAATGTATGTGGGTTCATATGCCATTACACATTGCATCACAAAATTCATATAATTCTGACTGTGGCATAGTGGTATATTCAATTTGCATATATAATTGGGAAGTACAAATTTGGTACGCTTGCCTCAAAATGACAAATTTTGTATCTACCCCTACTGAGGATAACAAAGGTTTTTTTTTCCCCAGAGTTGCAATGATTAGTAAAAATATTATTATTATTATTATTTATTATTTATGAGACTTATATACTGCTTTAAGTACAAGCACTCTCTAAGCAGTGTACACCAGTAAGCAATGTATATATATATATATATATATATATATATATATATATATATATATATATATATATATATTTACATTGCCCCCAACAATCTGGGTCCTCATTTTACCTACCCCGGAAGGATGGAAGGCTGAGTCAACCTTGAGCCGGTGAGATCTGAACCGCTGACCTGCTGAACACAGTCAGCTAAAGTGGCCTGCAGTACTGCACTCTAACTGCTGCGCCACCTCAGCTCTTAATACAGTTTAGAATTGACATGCTAAGAATAAACATTTTGAACCCACTATGTGCTATATAATTAGGCCTTTCTGCCTTTCTGAAATATCTTCTCATTCTATTTTATCTGTATGAAATTAAAATCAGGTATCTTAGTGCAATCAACAATAGTACTGGAGAACCCCTTAGGCCCAGATCAAAAAATCAGCATTCTTTCTTTCTGCTGATTCATGTGAAATACTTAAGTCTGAAATGAAAGGAATCCTCAAAAAAGCTTTAGTTCTATAGGACAGAAAAAATAGTTGAAAATACTTTTGATGAAATTTAAATGAAACTATGATGTAATTTGTTTTTTTTCTTTTAGAATCTATTCCACTGCAGCCTTACATTGCCTGTTTGATCAGTGGGCTTCAAGAGAGCCATGAATGAGATGAGATAGCCGCCCACGAGCGTGCTTAAATCCAACTCCAGATGGATACAAAATACAAAGACGAAGTATTTAGGAAATATATCCAGTTCCATGAATCTAAATTGGATACCTCTGACAGAAAGCTGTGCCCAGTTACCAATCTACAAATGGCAGCTTCAGCTTTACTCTGCTTTCCCAAGATTGATCCCTTTTATAGATTCCGGTTAATTAAGTTTTATGAAATTGCTGAAAATTCACTTCGATCCTTGAGAGCTTCAAGTCTGCATTCACTCCAGAATGCATTCGAAGTGCTAGAATCAGTTGGAATTAATCTTTTTCTTTACCCTTGGAAGAAGGAATTCAAAAATATAAAGGTAAGCCTGTACAAATATATCATATCTGGGAAACGAAGTATAGTATGCTTGAATTTCTTGGAAATTTCTGAAGAATCTTCCATGGTAATCTTCATATTACCAAGGCATTGCGCTATCTATCCTTTTTTTTTTATTAAAAGTTTTACAAATTACAATATAAACCCACCCATCCCCTCCCCCACTTCCCAGAGCTGATTACAGGATAACAAATAAACAAACTTACTCTAGCTAACATAAACCAACTAAACTATCAATCAAAACCATAATACACTTTAACTCCTTCTCAAAACAAATATTAACAAATTAAGACAAAAATAATAATACCATTAATACTATTAATAATTATCTAAAATCTATTCAAAAGCAAGATAATACTTTTCAGTTTCATACTTCTTCTGAATATAATCAATCCATCTTCTCCAAACCATAATATATCTTTCTTGTGAATGATCCTTCAAATAGGCGGAGATTTTCGCCATTTCTGCTAAATTAGACACTTTAAGTATCCATTCTTCCAAAGTAGGCAATAAGTTTTTCTTCCAATATTGTCCCACCAATAATCTTGCAGCAGTTATAAAGTTCAACATCAAATTAGTTTCTTTAACATCCAAATCTACAATAATACCCAAGAAAAATAATTGCGGAGTAAACTTTATGTTTTTCTTAAAAATCTTTTGAATATTCCACCAAATCTTAATCCAAAAAGCTTTAATATCTTTACAAGTCCACCAAATATGAAAATAAGTTGCATCTAAATTTCCACATCTTCAACATTTGGGTTGTAAATTCGGATACATGCTATCTATCCTTTTTGCTGACTTCTTATTTTCTTTGTTCTTTTCTAAAAAGGAAATGAAAATGCTTTAAAAATAAGATGCAGATGAGAAATATAATTTGACATATGAACATTTGGTAATGTTCTCCTGTTAGTTCTTTGGCAGAAATATTTCATCAAAGATTTTAAAAAGTGGACTACAATACGTTCTCAAGGGAAACACAGATGTTTTTATCCCAGATTTTCCTGGTAATGCTGACATTTACATGGAAGTAAAATTGAATGAATGGTATTCTGATCCTTCCATGTAAAGGAGAGATTAAAAAATTCCTATGGCCCTTTAGATACTGATGGGCTTCAATTCATAGCAATCCCAACCACCCTTGTTAGTGATGAAGGAGTATCACAGGTTTTCTGTCCCTACTAAAAGACTTTTATAACACTGAAGTTGATAAACCACCCTATCTTGGGCCTGAGTCTCCAAAATCTAAGCTGATGTTATATTTCTACTTCTAGTAATACAGGTAATTTTTCTTTAGAAAATGTCTTGTTTAGCAATTGTTCTCAATTTCAGTGGTTAAGAAAGTGACTTTATGACCAATCCTCGGATTTATGACCTTTGCAGATCTATAAAGTGACAGAAAAGTGAAATAAGATCATAAACAGATGAAGTTTCACTTTGCAACTGCTTTGCTTAATGATCGAGTTGCTGAGCCCAGTTATGGTTGCTAAATGAGTAAAGTTTCAACTCCTGTTGTCAAATGTTCTTCGAATTTCAGTGTCCATTATAGAAAAGCTTTAAGCAACCTCTGGTTCTGATAAAAAATAATAGAAGCAAAAAAATCTCTAGTTATTCCATTTACTCACTCCCAAGAATTTTCTGAAACAGCGTTCTGTTCCAGAATGCTTTATTGCTCTTAACTGATAAAGTTTGGCTTCAGTTTGAATCTGCAACCCAATTTACCAATTATTGAGGTTGATTATCATATTATTGATATTGATGTACTGTGATATAAATTAATATGGCTTAATATTTGATTAATATTAAGTTTAATAGTTTATCAATATAGTTCTTTTGGATAGTGCCCAAGAAATCTTTATAGTCTAAGAGATCTCTTGAAGTGTTTATATATATAATATATGTCAAAATTATATTTGACTTCATTAATATATGTATAAATATTTTCTCTTCCCTTTTTTTAGACTTATACAGGACCTTTTGTTTATTATGTAAAGTCTACATTATCTGATGAGGATATAAAACAGATATTAAACTTGATGGGATACGTTCAAGAACTTGGAACTATGTATAAGCTCAAAGACCTGGTTGATACCTTTCAAGTCAAGATGGTATCATTTGAACTGTTTCTGGCCAAAACAGAATGTGAACAGTTGATTGAAATTCACTTGCAGGTGAAGGAAAAAGGTTATTCTGAACTTGACATTGTAAAGGAGAGAAAAAATAGCAATGATGATGTTCGTGGCTGTTCAGATGCCTTGAAACGCCGTGCTGAATGCAAAGAGAATCTAAACACTTCCATGTCACGAATGGTACTTCAGAAATCTGCCAGTGAAAGAGGCTCTAAAGATTATTTCAAACCCAAAGTTAGCAAGCCTTCTAAATCAGTGGACACGTATGATAATTATTTGGATAGTAAGAAGCCACCTTTGATGGCATCATTGAGTTTCCGGAAAGAGCCCATTTTGGTTGATACTGAAGATGATATTAGAGATGAAATAATTCGACCATCACCATCCCTCCTAGCCATGTCAAGTTCTCTAGATGGATGTACTGAGGAATATTTGCCAATTTCATCCCACACCAATGGCATATTAAGAACAGGTATGCCGTTTGGTACTTACTATTCCCCTCAAGATGATTTAGATTTATATACTGACCCTGATTCTAGAAGCATGTTTAAAAGACAAGAGTCTTCTAAACATGATGTATGGCTGCTCAAAAATTATGCCAATCCAAGTTACCATAAGCGTGCACATCTAGCCAAAGAGACCTCTTCCCTTAAGTGCCAAAATTGCGGATTATCTTGTGGCACCTCCATTTGCCAAAAATGTGACAATGTGCTCATCTGCAGACAAGAATATCCAGCAATAAAACAAAGCAACTATTCACTCAAATCACTTTCAGGTGAAAATACGTCTGGATCTTCTGGAAGGGAAAAGCCACAATACATGTTACAGACTCAAGAGCGAGCATCTCACAGTTCGAAATCCAAAGCTTTGGGTTCTTCTCGCTGTGGTTTTTGCAACCGTTCAGGAGCTACCAACACATGCACTTATTGTTCTAAAGTTTCCTGTGATACTTGCCTCAACGCTTACAATTATGATCCCTGTTGTCGAAAAAGTGAGGTTCACAGGTTTCTGCCAAACAATCAACTAAACTACAAATCAAATCCGCTCTCGCACCTGGTTTATAGATAATTTTTTTTAAAAAAATATTTTTTCAGAATCCTTTATTTTGGGGTAAAAGGGCTAAAAACACAAATATGCTGATAAGTATTTTAGCAAACTTTTAAGAGAAGAGAAACAGATATGCCCTATTAATAGTATATACAGCATAGGTGCCAATCCCGATGATGTGGTTTTATACAGGTTTGTAGTGTAACTGATGCTGCTACTCTTTTTAGGCAACTTTTAGTTGCTTTTCCATTTAGATGAGTTAGAGAAGCACTTCTTTTTGTTGGTTTGTTTTTTCAGAACCAGGCAATTAATTTACTTTCTTTTGCTAAAAAAAAGTCATAGTTCTTTTATTGCTGGTTTTGCCTCATTTATGTAACATAGCACCAGAATAAAGGGGCAACCTAACAACCAGAAGAACAATTCAGATCATTGTAAAGTTGTTTGTAGTTTATACAAAACATTCACACGTATGTTTGCTCTTACTTCGTCCCCTCCACACTCATTTTTTTTAAATGAAGTTTACATACATTTCCTGGGCTCCAGTAGAGATATCATGGATGTTGTCATTTTGCAGACTTTCCAATATATGCATTAGATTTTAAACCGAGTGTTTATCTTATTGTCCACATTGCCAAAACATCTTCTTGTTTGACTGTTCTAGTATTCAAAAGATGTCACTTTGTATGTGTTACATTATGCCTGGAGTGCTCTGTTTTCTAATAATCAACGATGATTCTTCTGTTGCACATGTATCAGATTCTTATTTTTACTGTAAATAATTTGGAAGTAGTTTATTTTAATAAATATTTTCAGTATGTGGTCTTTTGAAAATGGGTAAGATCATGTAATTGAAGTCTCTGGGTTATTTTTTCAGATAACATTTTACTTTGTACTTTATCTGACCCGCAGCATATTACCATTGTTATAGAGACTTGTTTCTATAAATCAGTTTTCTTTATTCCATCCAACTGGATGAAATTCTGCTTCCTGAATCAGAAACATTTGGATACATAACTTCACCTTTCTTTAAACTCAATATTCGAAAGAGTTGAGTGCACACACATTTACTTATGCTGTCTCTCATTCACATTTCTGGGAATAGTTTACATACACTCTGCATAGCTGCACTCCACTGCAATTTGGTTATATTAAAAAAAAGTGAGAGGAGTTAATGCTGTTGCCAGCCATTAAGGTTTCTCTGTCCTGGAGGTAGATTTAAATGCATAATTTGATCTAGTTCCAAAGTGTATCAAGATATCACTCTAACATTTATGTAGCCTTTTTATGCCATTGCATTGAATTCTGAGTTTTGTGGAACATTATCCTTGACCTAAAACTGTACATTTTAAGAGCATGGTTGTTGATTCTAGGATTTGTAAGAATATAATCCTTTCACCTTTTATGTGATTAAACTTATATGAATGGCCAGTGATTACATTATCAGTGTGCAGGGAGGGGTTGGTGGGAAGAAGATTAGCAAGGGTGGGCAGCAATTCAAAGGGGATTCAATATATATTTGTACGTTTGTTGATATTTTTTGTCGTTAATGACATCTTCAAATGATTGTTACAGAAAGTTGCCAGCAGCAAAATAATATCAAAACAAGGATATACGCTCAAGAAAATCCGAAAAAAAGGATGATCAAAATGGCTTTCTACATTCTATTTTATTTTATTTCCCACCAACAAGAAAGCTTAATAGAATCATTGCTTATGTGAGTTATTAAGGTTTTCAAAATTATAGATGGGCTTTTATCGGTGTATATTAATATACCTGTAGATACAATGTGTATATAATGTCAAATTTAAAACAAATCTAGTCTTTCTAAAGAATCTGCCTGTATAGTTTATTTTGTTGTATTGAGTTTCTCTTTAACCTTTTAAAGCATCATGGCTGTTATTAGCTGGCTGCTATACTATATAGTTTTTAATTTTCTCTTGTTTTGGATACCATGTTGTTATTCACATAACACTAACTAAAAACTGTGATGCCACGTAATTTATACAGTGAACCTAGCAGGGATTAACTATCTTGCTTTTAATGAAACAGTCCAATGTATATACATATAATGAAATACCTGTAGTTCAGAAAAATGTGATATTATGCTAAATATATTTTTATGTGTAACTTGCTGTATGAGATTGCTGTGATTGAGATAGTAAAATATATGTTAATTTAAAATGTAGCAGCTTGGCATCTGATTTGTTAGAACACCCGAGTTTCTGTACACAGAGTAAGTTCATTCTCAGAATTTGAGGAGAGGAAATTTAACATTGGCATGTTTTGTGTGAGAAATATTGTTTACATAGCATGTAAAAGCTAAGGACTTCACAGTGCGTAGGCATATTTTTGCCACAATCTTTGGAAGTTATGCCGCCTTACTATCTCGGACACACAGTAAAATATTGGGCACAGCAGCAGGACTTTATTTTGAACTTGGGTAACTGATTCCAAACCCAACTTCAACCACCTTTGAAGACTAAGGACATTTTAAAAATGGGAATGATTCATTCAACTTTACTCCTAAAGATAGTGAAAATGCCATCAAGTTTACATCACCTAATTTAACATGTGTTACAAAATATCTGACTGTGATGCTGCTTCTCACAATAGTCAGGACTATTCTGAGTAAAGTCCATTCCAGAATGCTGTAACTTTCCTCCAAGAAGTATTGGGAGCAACCAGATGAATCACATTCTTGAATCTGCACACAACAAGCCTAGCATAAATCCACACTTTGCTTCCCCAGATATCCACTTTATCACCTCTTAAAATCTTTCAGTCAGAACTTTGTCAAGTACTCTTAGCAATTCCCCGACAGTTTGTACATTTTGCCATTTCATACCGGTATTTATTTTAATTCCACCCAGCTCTTTGTCCTGTCCTTTCATCTACTTCCAAAGAATGTATTCAGTTCTGAGTTTTAACTTTTTTTTGGTCTTTGACTATATTTGCAACTATTTTTCTCTTATTTTATAGTTATTTTATCATCTACACACTTCTGTAGCACTCTGTTCTGAACAAATTACAAAATCTTTTTCCTTATGTGCACTTTCTATTCAATTCATTGGGAAGTAACTGACTTTCTAACTTTTTTTTTTTTGGCAGAGGATGTATACCCTTTCATCCCACAATTCTCTTTTTCCTTCATTTCTTTCATCTTCCATGCTCCCCAGGTTGACACTTGACACTACTAAGATATGGTTTTGTCCCACATTCAGAACAATTCATTGCCTTTGTGTCCTTTCATCATAAGCAATAATGCCTTTTGTCTTGCTTACATACAGTATGATAAAATCATGCTTACGCTACATATTCAAAACACACTTTTTAAAAACACAGTTGATGCCAACTAACCCTCATTCTTTTTGGATCTCCAAATGAATCATATCAAAATGTAACAGTTGAAAGTGATCTTGGACATCATCCAATTTATTATCTATTGTAAGAATACATCCGTACTACAACTGAATCAGGTGTTCCTGTAATCTCGTTTCCATCCATCAGTTCATATCGTAGACAGCCACTTCAATCTAGATGTCACCAATTTATACTTTCTAATATATAATTTATCTTTTTGATAATTAAATATATTCATTAATTCTGCTCTGTAAGATCAAATCACCTTCCTTAGTTTCCTCAGACACTCAAAATACAATATATTTTTCTTTCTTTCGTTTCATTTGTTAATTCATGCTCTTTGCCATTTACTCCTCTTACATTACATTCCAAATTATAGCCTTCAATGTTACATGGTTTTTCATAAATGGTTCCTTAAATATGGAACTCTGCTGCCCATCATAGCTTTGGTCAGTGAAGCTTTTATTTAACACTTTAATAAGAAAGGTATAGATTAAATTACCAGGCTTAATTCTTGGCCCCTGCAGTATTCTCTCCTAATGTTAACTACAGTGCCAGTCAGTTTAGGTGCATTTTAATCAGAATGCTATGCTACAAACAAGCAAAACCTAGTTTTATCCCAAACAAGTTCACACTATTCCATCTGATATTTTTTTTCAAAAATGATAAACAAGTGTTGCAATAGCATAATACTTGATTCATATTTGCCATCATTCACCCTCTGTGGATACTTTTGTAAACTGGGAACTCTAATACAGTAACTATTTGCCAGCCAGCTTATAGACCAATCTGCACACCACTGCTTTTCAGATATTGTCTTTAGTTACAGATCATATGCATTGTGCACATGTTATATTCTATTAGAAAGCTATATGTTGCCCTTCATATATTTTAGATTTCCATCCTCATCTGCTCCAAGATCCAGACCAATAAGACCAGATTGTGCACTTTATAGGCAATTATAAGGAGTATTATATATTCTCTTACATAGGATGTGTCTACTCTTTGGTTTTGGTTTTGGTTGCCATTGACTCAAAACAAACAGGGCGCTGTGATAATTTCTACTTTAAAAGCCCATTTAAGATTCATGTGGTAATAATAGCTGCTTATAAAATAAGCTTGACATGTTAGTTGCAGGAGCAACGGTGACACAAAACCCAAATTTAGAGGCCCTCCTTTTGAGAGGTTTCTATTTTGATGGCTGGTGACATTTGATAGAAAACAACATTTATTTTAACCCCAAAACACTGAGATGCTCATTATCTTGAAGTCAAAACAAAAAGCAATGGATGGAAACGAATCAAGGAGAAAACCAACCTAGAAATAAGGAGAAATTAATCAGTGGAATGACTTGCTTTCAGAAATTGTGGGTGCTCCATCACTTTTAAGTAGAATTGGACAAATATTTGTCTAAAATAGTACTGAGTCTCCTGCTTGAGTAGGGGGTTGGAATAGAAGACCTCCAAGGTTCCTTTGAACACTGTTATTCTGTAATTCTGTTGAATGCTGGCACGAATGCCCAATTAATACATTTCTGCCTTAGATATAAACACAATCACATCTTGATATATGACTACCTAATTTACATTTGAAGGATAAAAAAAAGGGTTTGAGTGATGATCACCATTATCCTGAATTTGGAAGGGGCCAACTTGCAGAACAGGAAACCTAAAATTAAAGAATCTCTACCAGAAGAGTAGCTAGGTTCTACTGGAAGATCTCCAGGAAGAGACCTCTTGCTCTGTCCATCAATAATTGATTGAAAAAAGTCCAAATCCATTCTTCAAAACAACTTCCTGTCAGCTGGGAATTCTGAGAGTTCTTGTCCCAACACATTCAATGAACACAAGGTGGGAAAGATTACTCCATGGTGTCAAAATACGGAACTTTAAGTGCAGGATTGCTATGATTCCTACTCAATGGACAGGAATAAAATAAAAGTTTCCATATGTTAATATGATGGATAGCCTTATATTTATTTTTAAAGTTATCATGGATAGCTGGCAAAGACAGACACTGATTCGATTGGCTCCTTGGTGAAGTAAACTGCTTGATAGTAGCATATTCGGAGTCTTTATCTCTGTAGTTTACTATAAGCATTATTTGTACATCAGTGGGGAGGAGTTGGAAAAGGGATTTTAACTGGTCTTCTCCCATAGGAAGAAAGCATGGAAATGGGACTAAGTGTCCTATTATACAGGTGTATTCATGCATGAATAAACAAATACGTAATTCTGGGGAAACACAAGGGAGGAGAAACAGGATCTAAGAAAATCCAATGATTTTTTTAACTTCAAAAAAAAAACTGATTTGCTTTTCAACTTTATGGTATCAAGCAGTTATGTCCTTTAATCTGAGCAAAATAATCTTCCAGTGGACAGCAATTTCCTACAGTTTTAACACAATGTGTCTTTCTACTAAAGAATAAGTACAGGTAGTCCTTGATTTACAACCATAATCGAGCCCAAAATTTCTGTTGCTAAACAAGGCAGTTGTTAAGTGAATTGTGCCTCATTATCTTTTTGATACAGTTGTTAAGCCAATCGCTTCAGTTGTTAAGCAAATCATTCCATTGTTAAGCAAATCGGGCTTCCTCCACTGACTTTGCTTGTCGGAAGCCGAATGAGAAGGTTACGAATGGTGATCACATGGTCCCGGGACAGTGCAACAGTTATATATACATGCCTGTTGCCAAGCGCCCAAATTTTAATCATGTGATCATTTTCTTTGTTTTGTATTCTGCTTGAGACACTTCATAGCAGACAGTAAACTGAACAAGAAATTCTATCTTCTGTGAAGCATTCAACATTCAGTGGCAATGGGGTTATCTTTAATATAGAAGCAGCCTGACATTCTTTCTTTACTGTAACTTCATCCTTTTCTTCAGAAAGTCAAAATGGTCTTTTTCAGAGATCAGCAAACATTTCAAGCAGTGGGCACTTTTCTATGTTTTTTGCAATGTCAAGGGGGCCAAAACAACAAAGGTATGTAAGTCAAATTTTAAAATGACTCAAATCTCTTGTGAGCAAAGAGGGATAATTTGTTAACATGAAATTTAGAGGTCCCCGGGCATCATCCTCTGATATGATGAGGCACCATGTTGTTACTTCTTCCTTTCATGTACTTACTGGTGATTAAGTTTGCATCCAAAATGTTTATGGTTAAAATGTGCATTTAGTGATCAATCTCTCCCATTTGTGAGTCTGAAGCGAATCCTCTCCAACCCTGTTAGATCACAGGCTTTGTAATGGCTAGACTCCAGAGTCTATCAAATGTATCAATATTTACTGCAGAAGAATAAACAGTATTTCTACAGCTAATCATATCCCAACCTATGGTCTGGCCACTTATGCTCCCAGCAGGCAACTTTATTTTATAATTTGGATCTTATTATGGCTGAATTCCCATTAAACTATCACATTTTATCCTAGTGTGGTGTAGTTTATGGATTCCCAACCAAGAAAATTAAGTTAATTGAAGAAACCCTGATGTACACAGTATGGATATTGCCTGGGAGCTGAACTTTCTCTGAAACAGAGGTGCTCAGTTTCAAAATAAGTATAGTCTCCCTTTTCCAAAAGGAGTAATGTTCCTCCCACATATTACTGAATGCTTTTCCTCTGAATTATCAATATCTTTACACTGGCTTGCTTCCAGGTGATTTTTTTTCCATTCTGTTTGCTTTCAAGCAGATTTGGATGGAAATTTTCTTCCTATAAACACACATATCAGCCAAAACTCTCAGACTATTAAAATTTGCTCCTTTTACAGTCTCTTAAATACACTACCCATCTTCTGCAATTTGCTTCATGCTTTAGTATCCTT